GTATCAAGAGAGCATTCACCTAGTAGCTAACCTAATTGCAACTATGTGTTGTTAATATGGGGATATTTTTAAGATGAGTATGCGTGTAATGTATTATCAAGGATTGAGGTGTTTATAAGATGAGTATGCGTGTAATGTATTCTCAAGGATTGAAGTTATGACACATAATATGCAATCACGATCAATATGACAATATATTGCAATCAATATTATATGAACCATATTGTAATTTTGGAATAATGTTAAAAATCCATAAAAACTAATCTAGCATTGGAACAAAAATGGGTATAGTACAAGAATTTCATGACTACTTTGATGACCCTCAATCTCATACAAGAATTCTTGACCTTAATTTATCTAAACTACAAGGCATTCCCAGACTAAACAAACATGATAAGAGTATAAATAGACATAGTTATCATCCAAGGCAAGCTCCTTGCCAGTTGCCTCACCCCGAAAATTTTGAAGTGTTGGATTAGAGTCTAATCTCCAAAAACAAACCATATATAATGCCCTGTTTATTTAGCTGTAATGCATATTGCAGTTTACATCAAAATATCATAACAAAATGAAACAGACTATATGCGGCGCTTCTTCCTGAGGCGGCATCCATTATGGGGGCGTCGAGTTGTATCCTCAATGTAAACAACAGGATTAGTGTCACCACGAGAATGATTATACCCCTCTTTAAAGCTAAGAATAGATTGCTTCTTTTTCCTAAAATAGGTAAACCCGTTTACTTTCATGACCACAGACTTCAAGTTACGATTCCTTGCTTCACGCCCAACATGTTCTGCTGTAGATTCAGCAGCAAATCGAGAAACTTTCCCTCCTGATGCCAATGTTCCCGCTGAAGCCCCAAACTTTTTGTTCCCTTTTGAATCTGTGACGGTGATGAATGTGTTGTTGCGGAGCAGCTTAACATGAACAATGTCGGGATCGTTCTCAACTTGATATTTACGGAATGGAGATCCAAAAGGAGCACCACCCTTATCATAGTCTTCTAGTAATCCCCGAACAATGTCCATGGATTTAGACTTCTTTCCAGTCTCAACTTCGTTTTCATTTCCAGAGTCTATCAAAGATCTAGGAAACAAAGTGCGTGTTCCAGGGTTGCTCAAACCAGATTGTCCCAACCCTGAGAATCTATTATAGGGCATGCTGCCTTTGTTATTCCCTGAAAAACCTGCAATAAAAATAAAACCCATTCCAACAACAGAGCAGGTATGAGAGGTAAGCTTGATAGGCAATTTTTTTTTTTTGGTTAGACTATGAGGTGTCCTGAGCAGGTCCTAACTGTAGTCTGTAGGAGGCACTTTTAAGCCCGTACCATACTCAGTCTAATCCACATTCGCACTGGGCCGGCCCAATTAAGGGGCAAAGTGCTGGCCAGGTTGGTTTTTCCATACGAGAGGGGGCTTGAACTCCCGACCTCTCTTAAGGGATGAGAATGCACGGCTACTCACGCCAACCAAGCTGGTTTCGGATACGAATGTTAAATGTTAAAATAAAAGTGTTTTTTCGTATAAGGAAAAAATGATATGAATATATGATATTATCTATATCTATATAACAACAAAATAAAAAGCTTGATAGGCAATTTTAGAGCCCAAAAGTAAAACTTTTACATGTTTTGAATTCAAACTGTTTAGAAGGGAAACAACTTATTCAAAAAAGAAAACAAAGTGTCTGATATGTATATATGGGAATTGAAACACCATGCTTACTTCAATTGCTTGAAGGGCATTTATGCAACCAGACTTTTAGTTTTCGGGCATGGATTTCATAGACTAGTCTATCCCAAAACAAACAGCCACTTGAGTCCTCTTGAGAATGCCCGTCTTTCAAGTAACAAAATGAAGTTATTTTCATATTGTGTAGATAACTTAGCCAACCTAGCTCAAGAAACCACTAGAGGCCAATAGGCCATACAATTCTAGAATTCCCCCAAACACCATAGAAAAAATATTGTGGGAGGATGGTAATGTTTCTCGTTTATAGTTGTACCAAAAAAAAAGTCACAAAATTTTGAACTTGAGGTTCCATTAGCAATCAACGCAAATTCATTTCAACAATTACGAGAAATCAAATTAATTTTTCAGTCCATGGAAAACAATAATTTCATATTCAGACAATAAGGATTCAGTATTCTGTTTTATTCATTCAAGTTCCAATTTGACAAGCAACCCATTAATGTTTATCTCAAGAACTGCCATCCAATATACAGAACCAATTGAAAAAATGGAACTTCTATAAACCCAATATCTAAGCACTCACTTCACCAATTAATTTTATAAACAGCAAGTTCAAACAAATGGATGAGTATACACAGAAACATATACGCATATAAACATCATACAAAAGATAAGGGATAAGAAGAAGTTGCCTGAAATGGGGCCTGGGTTCGGAAAGGGAGGCATCGGTGGCGGCTCAGGATTGCTGGAACTGCAGAAGAGAGCATGAAGGGGCCGGTCGGATCTGGGTCCGAAGATCCGAGAAATCTGGTTGAATATGCCGGCACGAACCGGCAAATGAGCGAAAGGGCGCCGGAGGAACATTGGATGGCGACAGTGGAGTTTCTGACTGAATGGTTAACAGAAAAACCAGAGGGTTTGTAGGGTTTTGCGAGTTTGCAGGGAGGTCTAGAGTTCAACTCAGTTCAGGCGGGCGAGAAGCCGAGAACCGATACTGAGAGTGGAGGCGCGTTCCTTTTCAACCCCAGCAAAGGAGGCCAATTTCGTAATTTTAAATAATTAAAACGGGAAAAAGTTTGGGACCTTACGGAACCGGGGATTTTGAACCCGACGTGAATCGAACACGCAACCTTCTGATCTGGAGTCAGACGCGCTACCATTGCGCCACGGATCCCATTGTTCATAGCTATTCAAATTAAAATATATAATACGTATTTGTTTATGTTTTCTTTCTTATTAATGGAATTATGTAATGTGTACTTTAATTTGGAACATGAATTTTCCATCCGACAGATTATGTACTCAATCATAAGTTTATATAGATTCATATAAGAGCAACAATATTAGTTAGAGTTTTTATTTAGTTTTTGTAGGACAATACAAAGTTAAGGAGCAGCTCTAAATTCTCTATTATAAAATAGCAATAAGCAACAGTAAATAAATATAGGAAAATTTTTCCCGCTCACTTAAAACACCAATAAGCCGTGGAACCGTGTCCACCTTGCAAGGTAGACACGGTTCTGTGTTCATAATTATTGAATTATATGTTTATAATTATAAAGTTATACATGCATTGCCAACTACCATATAGTATGATGGCACATTGGTTATCCATCTAAGTGGATAGTCAAAAGTTCGAACCTCGATGATGGTGGCTTAAATTCTTTGGGCTCATACGTATTTCACACCAAAACAAAAAAGGTTATTGTATTGCATTCAATGGTTTACCAATATATTAAGAAAGTAGGAACGCATTATTTACAAATACAAAGATTGTGTACTCAATACCAAGAGGTAATGGTGAACATTGTTGTTCTGTTTTTTTATTATTGTCAATATTTGCCTTGGTTCGTGAAATATATTTCTTTTTATAGTGTTGATCTAATAATTTTTAATAGTTTTCAATAAGTGTTAATTCGTGTAAATATATACATGTGTAAAAAACTTTTAAACGAAATTGTTTTATTAACTGTACCGTCTCTCAAGTATTTTGTATTCTACTTTTATGTGCTTCATCATATATCTCAGTAATAGCAACCACCTATAGTGCACGTGGTGGAAGGCAATGTGGTAGAAGCTAAAATAGCATCTGGTAACAACCACGAGACTATGGTGCTAATATCAAGAATGTCAATGACCACGACGGATTTGAGATTGCCTTTCACATTTCAGAGAAGGCAGTAACCATTAATAAAAGTCAAGGACAGACGATATCTCATGTAGGGCTGTTTTTGAATAAATTAGTGTTTATACATAATATAACATAATACATAATACACATAAACTCATAACAGAATACACATAAACTCTTAACATAATACACATAAAATCTGAACAATAAAAACAACGTCATTTTAGTTAGGACGCACAATGCATTGTGCGCCCTGGTGCACGGCATAACGATTGGCCTGCCACCCCCTCCCCCTTTGGTTCTTAAGGTGTTACCATTGGTTTTAGTCTTTAACATAGACTCGTAGGTAGACTGGAACAATATTGTGAAAGCTAAGGGCACCACAACCAGACCAAGCAGTTCCTTAGTTCAACAGTGGGAGAAACCACCATCGGGCTTTCTGAAATTAAATACAGACGCAGCAGTAAACACCAACACCAAACATATGGGCTTTTGTTGGGTGTTAATGAATGATACGGTCAGTTTGTAGCTGTTGCCTACATCCCAGTAAGAGGTCTATTCTCACCAAAGGAAGTTGAAGCTATATCCAGGGCCGGCCCTGGAGCAAGGGCAGGCTGGGCCCTTGCCCAGGGCCCATGCTTGGTGGGGGGCCCACACTCCTCTCCTCCTCTTTTATATATATAGTATTTATGTACAAGTAAATAATATACATATAATTTAATTGAAGTTGAAGTAGCTTGGTTGGTGAGTTACTTAATAATTAGTATATATGTTAAAGGTTAACGGGTCAATTCTTATTACTAGCATTTTTTAATTAAGTTTTCTCTTACCTTTTAGAAAATAAAATCTCAATTTGTGAGATTTATTTCTAGGTAAGCAATTTTAGTACTTATATTTAAAACATATATTTTTGTATGAATCATCTAGTCAATGTAATATATAGAAATTTTTATTACGTGTCATTGTATTCAAATTACTCTAGAAAAACTTGATATTGATCTTACTAAAAGAAACAATATTTATAAAAATCATATCATATAAATGTAGAAGATTTGTGATTTATAATATATTTTCTATTCAAACTATTTTATCCAACTAATTATATTTCATGTTTTTTTTATTAATATTTGTATCGCATTTTAAAGTATTTTAATTTTTTAACTCCAATCAAAAAGACTTTTAGATCTACATCTTTATTTTTAGACCTACTATGTATGTAAAATTGTTAAAAATTGTGAATCTTATTTCAAATAATTTGAATTTAATATTTTTTTCTTTATGTATGAAAATATATCTTAACTTTACAGGTAGGGCCTATTTTTTTTGTTTGGCCCCGGGCCTATAAAATGATAGGACCGGGCCTGGCTATATCCATTCGGGAAGCTCTAAGCTAGATAAAGGTTCATGGTTTCAGTCATGTTCAAGTGGAATCTGATGCTTTTCCAAGTTATTCAAAGTTTAAAGCATACTGGGGAGGATTCGTCTTTTGATATTGTTATTTATGATGTTAATGATTTACTACACTCTTTAAGTCATGTAGCTATCTCTTATGTTAGTCGTACTCCGAATAGTGTTGCACATAGTCTTGTTAGAGAAGTCTTTCTTTGTCTATACATCAAGAGTGGTTCTCTTGCCCTTCTTCTTTTGTTGTTAACGATTTGTACTTTGATTTAAATTAATAAAGTCTTTTGATTTTCAAAAAAAAAAAAAAAAAAACACAGACTCACAAGTAATTCTTTATAGACAAGAACAGAAGCTCTTTCTATTCTAATAATTGCATTCACTTTGGGACAAGAAATATAAACATACAAATATATATGGCAGATTGACAGATATACAGTATAAAACTTACAATTATTAAACCAATAAAGGTCAAAGTATCTGCTAGGTCCCTATATTGTACTGTTTTGTTCATTTTAGTTCATGTACCTTAATTTTGTTCAATCCAATCCATGTACTTTATTAAGGACAAAACTTAAATCGTTTATTTTTTCCGTTAAGTTTCCCCACGTGGCGTTCGATTTGCCATGTCAGATTTTGTGACATGGTATTACCATGTCACGTTTTGTGATGTGGCATAAAACAATATTATTTTCGGACAAAAAAGAACAAGGATTTGAACCCTAAACCTCTTACCTAAAGATTAAGCTCTTCTCCACCAAGTTACACATTAGTCTTATTAGAAGATAGTTAAAACTTTATAATAATAGTTATTTTTCTGCACGTGGGCACCAAGCTCTCCACCAGAATGCATAAATTTTTGCACTAGTCAAAGCAAAAAAAAATAAAAAATAAAATCATGAACTTTTACACACTTTATGAGCCAAAAATACTTGTTTGAGAAGGTGTTGAAAACATAACATCTTAAATAGTAAGTCAAATATTCATTCATCACATATCATCTTAAATAGTAAGTCAAATATTCATTCATCACATATCATCTTAAATAGCATCGCAATGTACTAATTTTAAACAAGCCACCAAATTTTTTATTGTCTAAAAACACATGTATCCAAACCCTATTAAATAGTAATACACAATAATACAAAATAATTCATGAATCCAATGAGAAAAAAATAATAATTCATGAATCTTAAATAGACGAAAACCTATTATTAAAGTTTTTTAACTATCTTATAATAAGATTAATGTGTAGTTTAGTAGAGGGGAGCTTAATCTTTAAGCAAGAGATCCAAGGTTTGAATCCTTACCGTTTTTTGTCTGAAAATAATATTGTTTTATGCCACGTCACAAAACTTGACATGGCAATATCATGTCACAAAATCTGACATGGCAAATCGAACGCCATGTGAGCAAATTTAACCGAAAAAATAAATCGTATTAAATTTTGTCCTTAATTGTTTTAAATTTTAAAGTATAGAAATTGAATTGAACAAAATTAAAGTACAAAGATTAAAATAAACAAAGCGCAATACATGGACCTAGCATGTACTTTGACCCCAATAAACATACAAATATACAATATACAATATACAATATACAATATAACCATTCACAATATAATTTATATATACAGTATAAACATGAGACCCCGAGAGTGGAGGAGCGCTCCTTTTCAAATTTCAACCCCAGCAAAGGAGGCCAATTTCGTAATTTTAAATAATTACACCGGAAAAAATAAGGGATCTTATTAAACCGGGGATTTTGAACCCGACGTGAATCGAACACGCAACCTTCTGATCTGGAGTCAGACGCGCTACCATTGCGCCACGGATCCCATTGCTTTTAGCTATTCAAATTAAATTATATAGGTAATTGTTTATGTTTTCTTTCTTATTAATGGAAATTATGTAATGTGTACTTTAATTTGGAACATGAATTTTCCATCCGATAGATTATGTACTCAATCATCAATTTATATCTACTCTACTATACTAATAAGAGCCCAAGAGAGTTAGACCTATAATGGGTAGAAAAATGGTGGACAAATTTTTTAATCAAATGAATGGCTCAGATTGATCAGATTTTAATTTTTTCCTTGAGATTTCCTAATTTATCCTTAATGAATATGATTATCCGTTAAATTTTCCGTTAAATATTATCTTTTCCGTTAATTTCTGTTAGTTCACCGTTAACTTATTCATTGATTTCAATAAGAAAGGTCTTAAGTTCGAACCACATCCCAATCAAAGTTGGCATAATTAGTACTCTATTTTACTCTTATTAAATTAAAAATAATAATTTAGTAGCTACAAGAAAAAATAATACATATGCATTTCTTTAATTTAGAATTATGTGTCTACAATGTCTTTATTAAAAAAAAATTATTCATTATCAATAAATTAAAGAAGAGAAATAATTTCATTAGTTATATTGTCTCTATTTTTGTCCAATATAAATATTCTTTACATACATTCAAAATTCAAATTCATCAATTGATTATATTTGCTACATTGTCCATACAATGTCTTTATTAACAAAAATTATTCATTATCAATAACTTAATTAAGAGAAATAATTTCATTAGTTATATTATTGTCTTTATTTTTCTCCAATGTAAAAATTCTTTACATTCAAATTCATCAATTGATTATATTCACTACATTGTCTATTATCTTTTTTGTGCACTATTGTTTAATTAAATATCAAAGGTATAATACAAAATAATGCTATATATTTATTTACCAAGTATTTTATTAATACCATGAAAAAATTTAAATTAATAAAGTCAATTATATTAACTATTTGATGGATTTGTTGACAAAGAGAGTATTCAAATCACACAACAAATTGAAGTGAGAAACTACCTCGCAATGTCTTTGTTTGATAATCAGCAGTTAGCGATTTGTATATATGTGCATTCATTAAATATATTAGAACCATTTGCAACAAAAAATACTTGGTTACTATTTAAAAAAAGTTTAGTAACAATTATAATGAATCTCCTATATTACATTGTATTCATATATTATGAATTATATATTTAAATAAACAAATTAGACATTAAATTACTTATGTTGAACTTCTCATATATAATTTTGAATTTATATACTTTCAAATATTTATTTAACTATAAACATTGGGTAGAAAAGTTGACCGTCAAATTATTAAATCAAATGAATAGTTCAGATTGTTCAGATTTTTAATTTTTTTTCTTGAGATTTCTTAATTTATATCTTTAATTATATGATTATCCGATCTGTTAACTTTTCCATTAAGTAATGTTAATTCACCGTTAGTCTAATTCTAATATTAAAGTCTAATATAAAATTATAACTACTAACATTAATCTAATTCTAATATTAAAGTCTTAATAGAACTCTAACCACAAATCATACTGTCGGAATCTCCTCAAACAATATTAGTATATATTTAATATTTTATGCTTTAATTTTTATTTGATCTCCCTTATGTCCCGTATTTGGTTTCAACCATACCCATACAATTATTTTATTGGCAATTATAATCAATCTTGACTATATTATCTTGCATTTGTAAACTCAGGGGGTGTATTCAATCATGACTTTCATAGAGTTTTAAAGACTTTTATGAACTTTAAAAGTTTGGGGGCATTCAATTCAAACTTTTAGAGAGTCTTTAAAAGTCAGGCGGTATTCAATTAAGATTTTTAAAGAGTCTTTAAAAGTCGTGTGGTATTCGATTAAGACTTTTAGAGAGTCTTTGAAAGTCATGTGGTATTCAAAAAGTTATGAACTTTTGTAGACTTTTTAATTTTAAGACTTCTGTAGGCTTTTCCTTCTCAAATATAAATAGTTGAAATTCAACCATCAATCCCAAGATTTCAAAATTTTCTTTCTAACAACTTTGAATGTTTTCTCTCTCTATTTAAACTCTATTTTTTATCCGTATTTAAACTTTATAAACCTATCTAAATTTAATAAATTAATTTTTTCTTCATTATCCCATATTTTCCTCATACCTAAACTCTACCAATTTTTCTCTCCCTCCTAAACTTTACAATCTTCCTCTAAAATTCGAAATAATATTATTTTTACTTCATTATTGCTTGTTTATATTGATTTTTATTTTTTCTATGAATTTTTTATCCCTAACTTTCTCTAATTCTCGCTAAATACATGAACAAAACAAATTTTTCATTATCAAATTTTAGTATATGTTTCATAATATTCATATAAATACTTATATATTTTGATTTTTATTCTTTTTATGTTTATATTCGAAATATATATTTTTCTTATTTTTAACAACAAGTTACTACGAAAAGCGAACTAGTGTTCGCAACAACAATTTGGGGTTGCAAACAGTAGTACCTTCTTGTTGTTCGCAGTCTCTTATTACAAATAATAGTTCTTTATGTGATGCTTAGCAATATATCAAGTATAATTATATATATATATATATATATATATATATATATATATATATATATATATATATATATATATTTAAATATTTTATTTGATCAATTCTTTTATTATAAATACGCAAATTCAACATTCATTTATCTATGCATGAACAATTCTAATATAATCTTGCATTGATATACTTTAAAATACTTATTTAAGAAAAAACATTGAGCATTATCCCAATCGCACAATGCGCGTAAAAAACTAGTAGATTCATATAAGAGCAATAATATTAGTTAGAGGTCACCTTGAGTGACTGACAACTCTAGCGTTTTTAATATGTATAATCGGTTGATATTTTAAAGATATTTCAATCCTTTAAAATACTTGAAGATTTATGTTAAGATCTCCAAATTAATAAACATTAACACTATTATTATTATTATTATTTTTTTTTTTTGTAAACAGTAATTGTTTGTTAAAATGATTGATTTATAGAAAATTTTGATTTTAGTATTTTTTTAAAAAAATCATTTTTCATATTTTACCCTTTATTATATTGTTTACTTTTTATAAATACATTTATATTATGTCAGTGTAAATTTGAGTAACGAAATATTCCGCCAACTATTTATTATTCTTAATTTACTCATTAATTTTTATACAAAATATTTTAGGTTCAAACTCATCGCAATCAAAATAGACATAATTGTTAAATATATACTGTATTAAAAATATAATATAAAATGTAACATGAACTTTGGTCAAGTAATTAGAATTACGCATTGAGCATTCATGAAACAGTACACCTAATTTATAGTATATATTCAAACAGATGAGAAACTATGCCTATTATTATTGTCTTTTTTGAAATGAGGATTTTGTCCTGTTTTTGAAGGTGCACTGCTCCAATACACTAAAATTGTAGTGAAGCACATCAAGGAACTAGATCATATCAAGAATTCATTTAATTTATGGCGGAAGTGGCAACGAGAGGAGGCATGAATCACGCCAATTAATAAAATTTTGTATTACAAAAACTATGCGTACCGTCTGTCCAGTAAGGGTGTTTCCCTTTAAAATTGTTATTGTACCGATTAATTTAACATTTCTGCCACTATGCATTTTAAAATATTTACTTTTATAAAAAATTTGATAATATGCGTTAAGATACAAAATGATACTTTAATAAATTTTGAAACACTAATTTAAAAATACATATTTAACATCATATTATTTATGCAAAATGCTCATGTGGTAATTTGTTCCGTAGTATTATATAAATATTATATATACGTACAGATAGACTCCGTACTATAGTATATAGTGCAATAAATAGTATAATGTGTGCGTGGCAGCCACAGTCCACACTGAGCAATCTCTCTTCTCCATCCATCAACCATCACCACCCAAGTCCCTATTCAATTCTCCCCTTCACCTTTTTGGCCTTATCTCTCCCCATAATTCAACTTCATCGAAACCCTACTTCTGTTCAGTTCACTTCATCTCCCTCCGGTGTATGCATTCCACGTCATGACCACGTCGTTTGCCCTATCCGGCACCGCCATCTCCAACGACCTCAAGCTTCAACCCTCCACCAGCTTCACCGGCTTCAACTTGAAGAAGAAGAGCAGCTCCAATTCACTCCTGCTCACCAAAAGCTTTCGTGTTTCTCGTTACCTCTCGCATTCCACCCCCCCTATCACTTCCTCCATCAGAGCCGTTAAGACGGTATACTTGCTCCCTTTCTGCTTTCATTTTTTGAATTTTTATTTTTTTTTGAATTTTTGCTTTGAAATTCATTTCCAATGGAAATGGAGAAGTTTGGGAGAGGGATTTCATTTTGTTGAGCATATAATATCTTCTTTCTTAATCTTCCCCACTTTTATCAACATTGTTTGTCTTCCGGAATACTATTACTCCTTGCTTGATTCCTGCATTTGATCAATGTGCCAATCCTAACTGGCACAGCATTTGTATGTCTTATTCTCTGTTGAGCCCCGATGGAAAACTGGAAAAAATTCGTTGCCATGGTGGCTATTTCAAATTTTTACTTGTATTAGATAGAGAATTTCCAATTGTTGTCATTTTTTTTGCAGCCAGTAAACCCTCAAACCTCTGCTGAACCTAAGCGTAGTAAGGTTGAAATATTCAAAGAACAGAGTAACTTCATTAGGTATCCTCTCAATGAGGAGATTCTTACGGATACACCCAACATCAATGAGGCTGCTACCCAATTGATTAAGTTCCACGGGAGTTATCAGCAATATAATAGAGATGAACGCGGGACAAGGTCGTATTCATTTATGCTCCGGACAAAGAACCCTGCCGGAAAGGTCCCAAACAAGCTCTACTTGGTCATGGATGATCTTGCTGACGAATTTGGAATTGGAACTCTTCGCTTGACAACAAGGCAGACATTTCAGCTGCATGGGGTCTTGAAGAAAGACCTCAAAACAGTGATGGGTACCATCATCAGGAATATGGGCTCTACTCTTGGCGCATGTGGTGATATCAACAGAAATGTACTTGCCCCAGCAGCCCCTTTTACAAGTGAAACTTATTTGTTTGCTCAACAAACCGCTGAAAACATTGCATCACTTTTAGCTCCTCAGTCTGGGTTTTATTATGATGTTTGGGTGGATGGAGAGAGATTTTTGTCAGCAGAAAGTCCTGAAGTAGTGATGGCTAGGAATGATAATTCTCATGGAACAAACTTCCCCGACTCTCCTGAACCCATTTATGGAACTCAGTTCTTGCCAAGAAAATTCAAAATTGCAGTTACTGTGCCAGGAGATAACTCTGTGGACCTCTTTACAAATGACATTGGTGTTGTGGTTGTATTAGATGATGAAGGAGAGCCTCAGGGTTTTAACATATATGTAAGTAGGTACTTTGTTGGTGATTTTTTTTTTTTCTTTTTTTCTTTTTTCCAAACGTGTACTTTTAGGACAATAGTTCAAGTTATACATGATGATTGCAGGTTGGTGGTGGTATGGGACGAACTCATAGGGTTGAGACCACATTTCCTCAGTTAGCCCAGCCATTAGGCTATGTACCAAAAGAGGATGTACTTTATGCAGTGAAAGCTATTGTTGTTACCCAAAGAGAAAATGGGAGAAGGGATGATCGCAAGTATAGCAGGTTAAAATATTTGCTTAGCTCATGGGGGATTAAGAAGTTTAGAACTGTTGTTGAACAGTACTATGGTAAAAAATTTGAACCCTGCCGTGCTTTACCTGATTGGGAATTCAAGAGTTACTTGGGCTGGCATGATCAGGTTAGAGTGCTTAAGTGCTCACTTTTGTATTTGCTTATTCTTTATTTGTCTCTTGTTTCTCACCCCTTGACTGTTATTTACCATGTAATTTTTGTTTAACATTTTCTGTAGCAATGGGTCTCAAGTTTTTACTCTTTGAGGTTTGTGATATTTCATTCTATATTTTGGCAGGGTGATGGTACTTTCTTTTGCGGTCTTCATGTTGATAGCGGTCGGGTGCAAGGAGAAATGAAGAAGACACTAAGGGAAGTTATTGAGAAATATAACTTGGATGTGCGTATTACTCCAAACCAGAACATTATCCTATGTGACATTCAGCGTTCTTGGAGGCGCCCCATCACTACAGCTCTTGCTCAGGGTGGTCTGTTGGTAAGTTTACAGTAGACACATTATTTAAGAAATAAGAGCTTTGAATATTCAGGGTTAAAGTACTTGGGAGGTCCTCATACTGTGGGATTTTGTTCAATTTAATCTATCTACTTGAGTTTTGGTCATTTTTGTCTTGTACATTTTGAAATTGATAAAATTGAGGACAATTACTAACCCTGTTAAATAAAGCCAACCGAAATGCCTGATGTTCTGGAGATACTGACATGCTAGAATCTGTAATGCCAAATTCATTTTTGTCTTGTCATTGCCACTTTACTAACATGTTAGGCATTTCAGGGTTATTATTTGTCCTCAATTTAATTAATTTTGGGAGTGCAAGGACAATACTGACCAACATATTTTTATAGAGACTAAATTGAATAAAACCTTACTGTTTTTAAAGATCTCTCTTTTAGTTGCTCAAGGTAAAACTACATTGGAGATTGGTTACCTCATAATTTTATGTAATTGACTGCTTTAAAATCACTATTTCAGAGTCCAAGCATTGTTGTTCTTACAACTTAAATGATAGATGTATCACAAGGACAAGAACAGCAATCATGAATTAGGATTCTTTGCTCTGTATGAATCTGTCTCACAACTTTCATCAATTTTCTGAGTGGACAGCTACCTCGATACGTAGATCCTCTCAACCTGACGGCAATGGCCTGCCCAGCTTTTCCACTTTGCCCTCTGGCAATAACTGAAGCTGAGCGCGGAATTCCTGGAATCCTTAAGCGGGTTCGAGTTATGTTTGAGAAGGTATTTTGTAGACAGCAGAAACATGTGAATTATGGTATTAGAAAATTAGGCAATGATGTTTACTGCTAAGCTTTGGCTCTATGGTTTCAGGTTGGTCTTAAGTATCATGAATCTGTGGTGATCCGAGTAACTGGCTGCCCTAATGGCTGTGCCAGACCATATGTGGCTGAACTTGGCTTGGTTGGTGATGGTCCAAACAGTTATCAGGTATGTCTTTTTGTAGCAATGTCCTATATTCGAATCGGAAAACTTTCTCAATAACAAAATTTCTTCATTAGATTTGGCTTGGTGGAACCACCAATCAAACTTCATTAGCAAAACCTTTCAAGGATAAGGTTAAGGTTCAGGATCTGGAGAAAGTTCTGGAGCCTTTATTTTACCACTGGAAACGGAAGAGACAATCAAGAACTGAGGCATTTGGCGACTTCACAACCCGCATGGTAAGAAGAAAAAAATGTTATCGTTGGTGTGTGTGTGTTTGTTTTTATTCTTTTGTGGGGGTGGTTGGCATTCTCTATCTCATACAAGCATACATTTTTTTTTTTTTTTTGGTGATGACATGAATTAATGTGGTTTATAACTCGTGCCAGGGATTCGAGACACTTGATAAGTTGGTTGACAAGTGGGATGGTGTCCCAGTGACATCTCGATATGGCTTAAAACTCTTTGCTGATAAAGAGACATATGAAGCTCTGGATGAACTTGCAAGGCTTCAAAACAAGAAATCCAATGAATTGGCGATTGAAGTGATTCGTAATTTTGTTGCTTCCCAGCAAAATGGCAAGGGTAATATTCCTAAACCCTGAATATGCTTCATGGCTGTAAAAGATATATAATCCTTTCTCCCTCCTTCCTCAGTAGCTGTTACCCCATGATAACATCGAATGTTGATACACATTCCACTTCTAGCACCTTGAGGCTTTGTGTTTTTGTAAATCTGCATCTCTTTTGCTTTCCTTTTCTGACTTTTTTTTTTTTTTTTTTTTTTTTTTTTTTTTTTTTTTTTTTTTTTTTTATTGTACCAATTTTTTGTACTCTAGTTTATCATTGAGTCTCCTCTTCCAACCTGTAAAGAGTGGCATAGTATGGATTATTGGTCTGAATATTCTGAATGATCAGATTTTGTATGCTCTTTTTGCAATAATGATATCTGGCATGAGTAATTCAGAATGGTTAGAGTTTCCTTTCTTTACTCTATTTGCTATATTGATAACTGCGCCAAATTCTGATATTGGATACTGAATGAGAGGCTTGTGTATATTGAATAATACTATATGGACTTTCACCCCTTATTTTATTTTTTACTCACGGTTAGTGAAATAGCGTGACATGTTTTGATTGATTAAAAAAAAAAAGAATTAAATTAAAAATTTTATTTCTTCATTTATTTTTACCCAATGAAATTGAATTAAATTAAAAATTTTATTTCTTCATTTATTTTTACCCAATGAAATTTAAACATGGCAAGAGTTATACACCATAGGAGCACACCTGAGTATGTAGGGCATACCTCAAAAATTGTAGAACTTGTATTGTATGTAGGGATGACAACGAGGCGGGGGCGGGGGTGGGACGGGGAGTATATACTCCCCGTCCCCGCTACTCCGACCCCATCCCCATCCCCATCCCCGTTCCCAGTCCCCAGCGGGGACTTGAAAAAATTCCCCATCCCAGAGAATTTGGCGGGGACAGAGAATCCCCATCCCCGGTCAACTTATAGTCAAAGTGTGAAACTAGTAGAAATAAAAAGAAAAAAAAATTGAAATGACAATTAAAATTCAACTATTTTTAATAACATACGAACTAATGAAGTTCAAATTCAAATCCGAAAGAGCAAATATATACTAAAAATAGTTTAACATTCAAACATTATGAATTATATTGACCTATTGTTGTTATACACACAGTAGTACAGTACACGTATTGTACCAATGTATACACATTCAAATATTCTATTTCCTAATCTTAAAATAATATTCTATATATATATATATTGTTTATTTTTTTTTTCGGGGACGGGGCGGGGCGGGGAGTGGTATCCCTGTCCCCGCCGGAGAGTTTGTAAAATTTTCCATCCCCCTCCTCATCCTCTACGTGGGCGGGGATTCCCAACAGGGACGGGGCACATTACCATCCCTAATTGTATGCCTAACTTGGCCATGGCCAAGAGTTGGGTAAGTGACCATTGGAGTTTTTTGCACTTTTGGTCCCACGACTATAGTGGCACTAGCAGAATTGATCCACGACTTTTGAACCTTGCAATTTTAGTCCACGACTATTGATTTTTTTGCAAAAATGGTCCTTCCGGCCACTTTTCTGTCAAAATTCCACCGGAAAATTTTTTTTATCCATTTTTAACAGGGCTAAAATTGATGTTTTACTTATCTCAAAAAATAAAAGAAAAAAATTGACATTTAACTACATACAAATTACTGGGCTACATACTACTGCCCCAGGCGGCGGAGTTCCTGGTGCAAGTAGGGCTGTCAGTAAGTGGCGGAGCGGCCGTGGCGTTTCCCGAGCTAGTTGGGTTATCCGGCAGCAGCATTGGAGGGGGAGCCAGCACGCCTGCGGGATCATCCGAAGACATCGGAAAAGCTTTGTTGTATAAATTTCCGACGAGAGAAGCGGCGGAGATTCTCAAATGCAATCGCTTTTACCTTTCCGTTTTATGTATTTCCTTTATATTTTGAGATAAGTAAAATATCAATTTTAGCCCTGTTAAAAATGGATAAAAAAAAAATTTTCTGGTGGAATTTTGACGGAAAAGTGGCTGGAAGGATCATTTTTGCAAAAAAATCAATAATCGTGGACTAAAATTGCAAGGTTCAAAAGTCGTGGATCAATTCTGCTAGTGCCACTATAATCGTGGGACCAAAAGTGCAAACGTGACCATTGCAAGTAAGCATTTATCTTTGTTGAGCATAATATATAAAATAATAAACTTATAGTCTCAATGTCTAACTATTACTACTACTTCTAGTTTAATAATAATAATAATAATAGAACAAGATGTTAATCGAATATATAACACATTACGTGTAGTCTCATTACTAGTTTGGGTACATAATTATCTTATTCCCATCGTCTCGGCAAATTATTACATGAACTATGATCCACACAATTGTATGAATCATGAATATCATGTACATTTTTAATATATTAAAAGTATATTATTTCTCAAAAATAAAGTATATTATTTTTGTATTGAAGGTACATTATATAAAATAATGTACCCTTAGTATATTAAAAATGTACGGAGTACTTTTTATTTATAGTTTACACAATAATAATTCAATAGTTATGCCATGGAACCGTGTTCACCATCTATGGTGAACACGGTCCCAAACGGTAACGGTGCATACGGGCACCGTTACTTCCACCAATCTTTTTTTTTTTTTTCATATTCACATTTTGCGGTTTCACTTCCTCTTCGCGCAAGTTTCTTCGACACTCATAAATTATGAATGTGCATGCATGAATTCAGTTATGAAATTATGATTTTTTTTTTTGAGATTATGAATTTTCTGTTATAAAATTATGAATTTTCTGTTATGAGATTATGAATGTACAGAAAATTCATAATTACATAACTATAAATTCATACTCTCATAACAAAAAATTCATAATTTAATAAATATTTTTCTTTTATGAGATTATGAATTTTTTGTTATGAAATTATGAATTTTCTGTTATGAGATTATGAATGTATAGAAAATTCATAATTACATAACTGTAAATTCATAATCTCGTAACAGAAAATTCATAATTTAATAAATGTAAATTCATAATCTGAATATAGAATGCAAAAGATCGTTAAAGTGTGTGTTTGGTGAACACGTTTCCACGGCATAATTTGCGAAAATAATTGTCTCATCTTTATGCGGTGAAATTTAAGGCTCTGTAGTGTATGCTATGCATATTGGCCTGTCCAGAGTTACAGTCCATGACCGAGCCCATGTTTCAACCCCAGTAAAGGAGGCCAATTTCGTAATTTTAATATTAAATAATTACACGAGAAATAAGTTAGGGATCTAAGAACCGAGGATTTTGAACCCGACGTGAATCGAACACGCAACCTTCTGATCTGGAGTCAGACGCGCTACCATTGCGCCACGGATCCCATTGATCTTTGCTACTCAAATTAGTTTATATAATATATTTTATTTTATGTTTTCTTTCTTAGTAATGAAATTATGTAACTAGTATTTGTCTTGTGCGATGCACAGACAAAAATGTATAGGTATTGTTATAATGTTATGATACTAAGCAAAATTAATTTTATTAAAAATGTAAGTATAATTATACTCGGGTTGGACTATGTGGTCCAATGGTACCCGGGTTGGACTTTCATTTGGAAGGTTGTGAGTTTGAGCCTTAGTGGAGGCGTAATGCAGGGACGGAGGGAGAGGGGGGCCCCCTCTCACCCCACCCCTACCCCATATATAGTGTTTGTATGTATATATAGTACATGCCGCCCCCCCTCACCCCACCCCCACCCCATATATAGTATTTGTATGTATATATAGTACATGTTTTAGTATTAGTATAAAAAAAAGTATAAAATATTAATAAGAAGTGAGTTAGAGTAAGTGGTAGAGCATATCTTTGGTAAGAATAATGAGGTTAAAGGTTCCAATCTTAGCATCAACATAGTTTTACAATTCTTTTTAATAGCTTTTTTAATATTACACACACACTCTATAATAAGATGTGTAATTTATAATGTGTTTTCTATTCAAATTATTTTATTAATTATGTTTCATATTTTGTTATGAATATTTTTATAAAGTTTCGATGTGTTTTATTTTTCGTCCATATTCAACAATATTTACAATTATATTTCTTAGGTAGTTTATTTATTTATTTTTAAATTATCTCTTTTGTTTTAATGTTTCGCCTTTTTTGGAAAAATTTTCTGAATCCGTCTGTACTGTTTCGCCCCCCCCTCAACCAAATTTCTGGCTCCGTCCCTGGCGTAATGGAAGGTTGTGAGTTGAGAAAGTGTATGAACAGATACTACATTGTAATAGAGCTAGTAGCAAGGGAAACATGCATTTTTTTCTTTGTTTTTTGTTTTTTTTTTTTTGGGGGGTGGGTGGCTCTATTACTCTTGGTAGTTGAGAATCTCTATCTCATACAAGCATACACATTTTTTTTTTTTTTTTGGGTGCTGACATTTATTAATGTGGTTTATAACTTGTGCCACGGATTCCAGAGACTTGATAAGTTGGTTGACAAGTGTGATGGTGTCTCAGTGACGTCTCGATATGGATTAAAACTTTTTGCTGATAAAGAGACATGAAGTTTAATTCTATATGAATTTGCAGGGCTTCAAAACAAGAAAGCCAATGAATTGGCGATTGAAGTGATTCGTAATTTTGTTGCTTCCCAGCAAAATGGCAAGGGTATGTAATATTCCTAAACCCTGAATATGATTCATAGTTGTGAAAGATAATCCTCTCTCCCTCCCTCCTTTGTAGTTGTTACCCCATGATAATAACATCTAAGAAATGGGGTAGAGAATGTTGATACACATTCCACTTCTAGCACCTTGAGACTTTGTGTTTTTGTAAATCTGCATCCCTCTTCCAACCCTCTTCCAACCTGAGTCGCATAGTATGGATAAGTGGTTTGAATATTCTCAATGATAAGATTTTGTTTGCTCTTTTTTCTATAATGATATCTAGCATGAGTAATTCTCAATGGTTAGAGTTTCCTTTTTTTTTACTCTATTTGCTATATTGATAATTGTGCAAAATTCTGATATTGGATACTAAATGGGAGGCTTGTGTATTGAGTAATACTATATGGATTTCACCCCTTATTTTATTTTTTACTCACGACTAGCTAACGTGACATGTTTTGATTGATTCAAAAGAATTAAAGTAGATTACACTTTTTATTTCTTTCTTTCTCTTTACCTAATAAAATTTAAACACATGACAAGAGTTATACGACATATGAGCACACAC